ATCCACGGCAACACCTGCATCCAATGCTTTTGTGACCTGATCGTAAAAGGCAATCAGGTTGGTCTGAAATGACCTGCCCCTAATGAAACCATGCTGGTTGCCCCTCAGCATTACCCCTGATGCCGGCCCATCAGAGATGTGCTCCTTGATGATCTTCTCAAAGAGTTTCCCCAGGATTGAGGTAAGACTGACGGGGATTATAGTTGCCCGGGTCCTCCCTCCTCCCTTTTTTAAAGATGGGGACCACATTGGCTATCTTCCAATCATCTGGCACCTGGCCTGAGCACCACGACCACTTGTAAAGCCATGCCAAGGGCCCTGCAATAACCCCTGCTAGCTCCCTCAACACCCTGGGGTGGAGAGCATCTGGACCTGCTGATTTGAACATGTCCAGCCCCTCCAGAAGCTCTCCAACCCGGTCCTCCTCAACCTTAGGTCTAGAGGCATTCCCCTCGAGTCCGTCTTGAATCACGGTGGGGGAGTCCCGGTCCCTGCCCAAGAAAACGGAGGTGAAGGATTTGTTAAAGATGTCTGCCTTCTCTTCTGGTGCAACCACCAGATCGCCCAGCGTATCTTGCAGGGGCCCCACATTTCCCAGCGCCTTCTTCATCCTCCATATATATTTGAAAAAGGACTTTTTATTATCCTTGATCTTGGACGCTAGTCCTAGCTCTATGTCTGCCTCTGCTATTACAGAGAGTTAAATCACACTCATTGCTGAATAATGATGGACTTTACCCTTGAGCTTTAACTGAACTGTTGTGAATTAGACTAGATAATTACACCTGTTTTCAAATGGATTATTTCTTTGTGTTGTCCTGAATACAGATGTGGTCCGAAAACATAGTTGTGCACTCTTTTGGTGGTTGTTATAGGAGTGGTGCTTTTCACAGTGCCCCACAGAGATAAACACTAAATTCACAGAATGAGATGATGCCCCAGATAGTTTGCAATCTCAATAGGAGAAGCAGATGAAGGTCATTGCTACTTAGGAGCAAGTCCATTAAGATGAGTGATATTAAACCCCCCCATGAGATCTCTTTTGATGAAAAACACAAACACAAATTAGACTGGTGTTGTCAATAGCAGCTAATTGCATTGTGGGAAGAACTAGGAGCTCCAACGTTGGCATTTTGGGGCTAGGTGCTGTACAAACATGAAACTGCAACATGGTCTTTGCCTCAGCGTTTTCCAGTAATTATGCCCAAATGCAGACAAAGCCAGAGTTTTAAAGGGACAGTCTGTTAGAGCCACGCTGGCTGAGACAAAGCTCTGATGGGCTGCAAAGCACTAAGGGACCTACCATGGCCTTTGTTGGAAGAGGGAAGGAAAACGGCAAACAGCCTGGTCTTCATGCTGAAAGCTGTTTAGTGCAGAACCAAACCAACACAATATGTTTTAGTTTGGATGCAATGACAACCACCTGGTGCCTGCGGGGAATGCTGAGAGCTCCTAATCCAGCGATGTTTGTCAGCCAACTGTACACAGGTCAAACCATGGCTGTTTTGCTTTCCTCACACTAACAAACCATCTGTTAGGGCAGAACTTGAGACTGTGTCACTCCGGCTACATACAGGTTGTAGTAATCCATGCTGCAAACACAAGAGACAGTACAGTTGCCAGCCAGCTGCATTCAGCAGCTTCTAGCACAGGCATGCCAAATGGATGGCAGCTCCAGAAACATGAGCTTCCAGCCACCAAATAGTAGCTCTGGCTATTCAGCTACAAGTGGCCACTAATATGTGGAGCATTTAAAGTCTGAAGGGATCCATCCAGTGTACTCAGGCCTAAAATACCATACTATAAAGCTGTTCCAGTGTTAGGAACTGTAGAATTGTCCATGCTTCCTCCACACTGAATTGGAGGGTATTCACTGCCTGCTGTGGTACCGTCCTTTCTAGCCCAGCACTCAAACATAGAGTCTCTTGTTCTGCCCCATATGTTCCTCCCTTTATCAGCCTAGCCAAAAACCCGTAACTAATCTGGAGCCAAGAGAGCAACCCCAGTATGAAAGATTTAAGAACTAGAGAAAATGAAGGCTCCTAACGATTTTTAGCTGTAACAGGGGAGGTGAAAACTTCTATGTGAATGAGATGGAAAAGCATGTGTAGAGGAGGAGGGATGAAGAGGTTTAGCATCATCAGGTGATTTGGACATAATCCTGGGAATCAGGAGTTCCTGTGAGCTAATCCTGGCTCTGCCACTGACTTTCTACCTGACTTTAAACATATCAATTAATATCTCTACCTTTCTTAAAATGGTGATCACAGTAACTTACTTGCCTTGTACAGCTGCTGCAAGGATTGAGTTAATGCTGATAAAGATGTTTTGAAAGGTCAAAGCACTACATACATGCCACATATTCTTGCTAATGATAATGAGGCATTTTTGTAGTAAAAATGAGCTGCAGTATCCATCAGCCACTAATTTGTATACAGGCTGACTGACCTTTAATTTGTACTCCTAAGTAAATTGATACAAAGCTTGGACAAGAGTAGGCAAGTCTCAAACAATTGTTGGTTTGTTTTTTTTTAATAACAAGAACTGGAGTTTAAAATAAAATAAATCCTCTTTGTACCAAAAGCAGTGTCTGCTGATGCTAGAGCATCCAGATTACAGTGCTTAATGATAACAGATTGAGAGCAGGTAGCTGCCTTGCATAATTCAATGCCTGAGTGAGCTTGGCTGAAAGGACTACTTGATAGAGGAGAGCAGAACCAATAATCTTGTATCATATTTCAGACTTCCACTGCTGCAATAATTTTTCACCCCTGAGTGACTGAAACCCATGCTCTTTTTCATTCATACTCCCCACATTAAAAGAGAGAGAGGCAATACCTTCCCAGGGAGAGGCTATCATTCTCTAAATGGGTGGTACAGGGAAGGTTCTGGGGTGCACTTGAACAAAGATGCAGAAACTCCCTGAAGCTGCCTTCTTTTTGCTGGCAGCTTGTGAAATCTCCTAATTTACTTGTCTTCTGACCAGTGCCGTCGCAAGGGCAGGGGTGAGCAGGGCAACCACCGAAGCAAAGGGGCAGCGAACAGGTGCTGTCCAGCCGGGGCGGGGTGTGGGATGGAGCCACAAGCAGCTCATATGGGTGGGAGGTGCATGGGGATACGGGGAAGGGCAGCTCCCACCACTGCGTGCACTCCCAGGCTGGGAGGGGGAGATCCATGCCTGGGGCAAAGGTGGGCTGCTGCTGCGGGCTTTGCCCCAGGCGCCAAACTTCCTTGCCACGGCACTGCTTCTGACTACCTTTGCTGGTCATTACAGAAAACTCTAGAGAGTATATCTGTATTCAGAAGGGGGGTCCCTGCAGCTCATGTAAGTCACAAAACAGCTCTTGAGAACTGTCAGTCCCTCATGAGATGTGGGGATCACTAGCAGCACTGACATGATTTTCAGTCACCCTTGCATGCTTAGTATCAAGGAGCGCTGATCCAAGATGGAGAATGTCTCCACTCCCATAGCGGGAACAAGTCTGAATAGGTTGCTGGTGTCCTGAAAAAAAAATGAAAAAAAATTTTAAAAAGTGTGTCACATTACAGCGATAAGAGGTCAAAGTGCACTTGAGAACACCTCAAAAGGTACAGCAGAAAATGTAATGACTCTATACAATGAGAGAAATTTGGTCTAAGTTAAAAGTCTGAGGCAGGCAGACAATTTTGCAAATGAAGTCTATTCAACCAGTGTGCCAGCACATATCTGAAGCTTGCTGTCTTTTTCTTTCATCTCGTACAAGTGAAGGACTAATCGTATGAACTGCAACCACCTGCTATTTCAGTGTTAACAAATGCTTTTCTGCAGTTTTCAGTGGTGCAGATTTTTCAATTGTAGAAGATGATGAATTTGGTGTAGCCAAGAAAATTATTTTTAGTATCTGCTCTTTGTTCTGCCTCTAATACTTCCTTCCTAAGGAAATAAAATCAACTCAGGAAGTAAAACACAGCAAGTATCAAATCATTAATGATGGCCAATGTCTACAGTAATAAGCAAGATTATTTTGCTTTAAAAAAAACACAAAACCTACAACGTTTATTAAAAACAATCTGAAGGTTGCACAGTTAAACACTCGAAGATCAGAAAATCTCCAAGTGAAGCCAATGCTTTTGTAAGATCCCATGAAATGCAGCTCAGACCTGGACCACAGAAGTCTTTCTGAGCTACTCGGAGCCAAAGGACAGGGTTCCTTTCATAGATGCTCACTGCTCAGGGATATAAGTACTGGCAGCAGTATCAGCTTCAAGCCAACATTATGCTCTGGATAACACGTGAATAACCACAGCATACTACTCCCACATTGAGTGTGTTGCTCCATACTACCTCTTCCCCCTCATTTTTGCATTGCCGTGGAGGGCTGGCAACACTGAAAACAAGGACAGTGCAGGCAAATATGTCAGTTGAAGTATAAGGCTTGAAATGAAGTGTGTGATATATTGAAATTAACAATGAATAGTCGTGAATTTGGATTGTGTATTATAATATTAATTATCTTAAGTGGGGAATGGCTCTGTATGGCTCCAAAAAGTAAAACGCTAGAACTGAGACTGAACCAAAAGAGGTTTAAACATACTTGAGCATCAGGATTCAACCAGAAACTGTTCAACTTGAATGGTCCCTCCTAAATGGTCTATTATATCTGTGGCAGGGCACTGGGTGTGCCTGCCACTTTAAGGGCCTGGAGCTGGCAGCCCCCAGGTGGCTGATGAGAGCAGCCATTTTGAGTCAGGGGCTGTCTATATAAACAGGGCAGGTTGCCTGCCTAGAGACCAGGCAACAACATCACCTGGCTGGAGGGTTGCAGATCTACATCTGGAAGCAAGGGAGGAGCTGTGGGGGTGGTTAGAAGGCTCCTGGTCCTGGGCATGACCTAAAACTGCACCCTGCTGGGAGTGGGTGGCCTGGTGGGGCTCTCAGTGGCATGGGAGCCCCCAGGAAATGCCAGGCCAGTTACCACCCCGGTGAAAGGCAGGTTGGGGCACCTTAACCCCTAGCCCCCACCACTGGGTAGGTAACCCCTGTGTTTGTGTGAAGGGCCCAGAGGGTAGGCCCCCAGGGGAGAGAGAAGGGCTAGAGACCCGACCTGAACAAGAGAGTACCCTTGCCTGGCCCATGCTGGGGCAGGACCAGGAAAGTCAAAAGGGCCAGGGGCCCACCGTGAGGGACGCCCAAGATCTGGGGTCCTGGGGTCCTGACTGGCCTGGAGGTGGGCCAGGGCTGGTAGCCAGAGGTCCCAGGGGGACCACACCCAAGAGGGGAAAATAGTTTTGTGGGGCTAGGTAGCCTGAATGAAAGTGGAGAGGCTGCCTGAATGGAGGGATCGTGGAGGGGTCCTGTTAGGAGGATTCTGGGGCCCAGTGTGGGGGCCGGTGATTATGTGAACATCAAGATGCCATCTGAGCGGCTTGGGCTGCAGTACAGGGGAGGAAAGGAGCCGCAGAGAGCGCTCCCTGGCATTGGGGCAGCAAAATGGGTAGCTTCCTGCTTAACTGTCATCAATTAACATCAAGGTGTGGTGGGCGAGAAGGTGGGTGGTTAGCCCAAGAACAGGTGGGCAGGCCACGGAGATCGGCCCTGAGCAGGCCCCCTGTTACAATATCCATGAGCAAAGAGGGGTGATTAGCCCTGTTAGCCTGAAGTCAAGCAGAAGATAGGGTAGATTCTACACCTTGTGGACTAACTACATCAGAGATGTATGTAGCATAAGCATTCATGAGTTCCAATTTACTTCATCAGGTGATATGAAAGAACATGCATAGAGCAGCATATAAAATGGAGGGTGTGATTTGGATACAAAAAGTAGGAAGGGAAGGAAGCGGGGAGGAGCAGCAATGCTAGAAGAGGCAAACAAGCAAGAAACCCATAGGGACAAATGGGTCACAAAAGGTAATCCAGGGAATGAGATAAGAATCCATAGTCCCTGTTTAAATCACACTTGACACAATCCAGTCTGTGGATGATTTTTTGTTCAGCAATGGAGTGTCTAGGGCAGTTGAATTGTTATTCATGTCGTTCTGGAGCTGATGTCAGATCGGTGTTCATTCATTCTTACATACAATGTAGGCAGCAGAGGGGTACTGTAAGCAGGTGAAGGCACATATGAAATTGGAAGAGGTGCAGGTAAATGAACCTCAGATGTTATCAGTGTTTTTGGTCCAGTGATGACATGGTCTGTATTAATGAGGGGACATAGCTGGAACCTGGGTCCATTGCAAGTCCTGATGCCTTGGTGAGAATGGAAGTTAAGTAGCCTTTTGCTTGAGAGACACCATTTGAAGTTGGATGGGGGTGTGGGGGGTGCTGTCCATAAGCCAGGACAGATTTGTCTCCTGTGACTACCTTGAGATGGTCTTTCCAAGAGGGATTAGAGGTCAGTAAAGATGTGTCTAAGGTGCTCAAGCTTGGGGCTGTAGGTGACAGCCAGAGGGATTCTATTGTCCTTGTCCTGGAGTTGACACTGTAGTAGGTCAGAGCAAGGTCTGCATCTGGCTTTGTTGATTTGCGTGACTACCATTTGGGATTGTGTTGTAATTGTAGAAATGCCTGCTCAGATTCTTAAATCGTATACATCCCAGTCAGCAGGATCAGAACAGGTACGGATGCAGTATTGCCAACTCTCATGATTTTTGGTGTTGTTCTTAAAGTCTACGCTTCAGGAATGTGAGAAACTTGGCTCTTTCTTATATATGTATATAAATATATATAAAGAAAAAACTATTGTTGTTTAAGAACAACATGAAAAATCATGAGTTGGCAATACTGGAGATGTAATGTAGAACTTGGATATAGGCAATGGATCTCATGGTGTGCTTAGGACAGAAGCTGGTGGCATGAAGGTAGCTGTGGTGGTTGGTTGGTTTCCAATACAACGTAGTGGCAATTGCAGTGGTGCACAGGCAGGGCTGCCTGCCTCCTTCTCTGCTACCTTAACAAGGCTATTGAAACAAGCTGTATTGATGCTAGTGGAACATTACAGCCAGTGAAATGCTAACATAAAATAAATCCAGATATCTCCTTGGAAAAGAGATAATAGCTCTTTGTCCCCACAGTACCTTTCCTCATGAGAAAGGATTACCTATGGGATGCTATTAGTGTTGGACTTGATAAGCCTTGATTTCTGAAGAGAAGCAAGAAGGTGGCAGTAGGAAGCTATTTTCTGCATATTAACTAGGCTACGTTGGACAACTTTCTGAACCAAGAAGAGCCTATTTTTTGTATAACCTTTCCTGCTCAAATTCTACAATGAGCATGCAATAGAGGCAAGAGGGCCAAATCTTTTAACTAGCATAATTCAACAAATAGCAGCAAGTTTGCACCAGCTGGGAATTGGGGCCTGACGGAGGAAAACATCTTGTTCTGGCCACGCTGCTAAAGTATCTATATCCCATATCTGATGAAGGGTAATTCTCGGCAGGAGATATCCTACAGAGATGGCTCAGAAGATGCAACAACCCTTTTGTAATTTTTGTAATTAGCAACTTTTGAGATGAGGAGTTTTTCTCCAATTTTCTTAATTGACTACAGGTTCTTTAAAAGGAAGAGATGTATTTGTGCTGTGAGAGTCCTGGCAAAAGACACGGGAACTAAAACAATTGAAGTGAATTCAAGGGTAATCCTGATGCTGCATTCTAACCCAGCTGGGCCCAAGTATTGCAGTGATAGTTTTAATAAACTAGGCAGAGGTATCTGAAAGATCAAGATTCAGTTCTTTGGAGAGCCAGAGAGTCAGGCTTCTACCTTTTCTCCATTTGTATAAACCAAAAGGGATATACCAAATATAGAGAGGCATGCCATAATGAGTATTAACAGAAATGTTAAACGAAACTCAAGTGTTGGGTTTAGCAAAAGAGATCAAAGTATGTTCTGGCTGAAGTGTGATACCATTGTTAATCATCTGAATCTGAACATACAATTTCAG